ACTACCAGATGAATTTGGGGCCTAGTGGACTTACTGTGAATTAGACCTTTGCTAAAACTCTGTTATCACCTGACCTCTGTTGGCCCCCTAGTCTTAGTTTAGGGCCACAATGACATCTTGAGTCTCCTGGAATAAATGCTAGATCAGAATTAATGTCCAGTAGTCCCTGAAATGTCTGATCATTTCCCTTCCCCCAGTGTATAGTCACTCTGGCAAAGGGCCTCAGGTCCCTCTGGGGAAGGATGGGAGAAAGATTTACTAAATGCATTTTTGGCACATTAGGGTCATCCCTCAAGAGGAGCTGGCTTCCTCTTCATTGAAAGGGTTCTGAGTCTGTAAACTGATTCAAAGGACTAGTTAAAGGACCATGTTTCCCTGTTACATAATTTGAAGTATGTATCTGTTTATTTGCCCTTAAATTTTATTGATTACATAAATCTAGTGCAAACTTTATAGGCTTTTCATCTATTTCACTTTTGGTACCATGGTGGCTGATCAACTAATGCCATACATTTATGTGTCAGGTCATTTTGGTCACTGTTCTGCTTTTGCTGTCCATTATGAGTATGTGCCAAACACCCTGCCTTTGGCGATTAAGTGCTGTCGCTTAACCTTTGCCATTACAGGATCTAGTCCAAACCATTGCCCTTAAATTTCTCAATTGAATAATCTGCACTGTAAGGTTTGGCATAGAAAGAAGAGCAAGTGACAGGACTCTTCAGGGATGTTGACACTCCCTTCATGAATCTTTTTTTCAAGGTATCAGTGAAGGGACATTTTCTGGGTTGTCCCAGTGTGGAGAATTAGGTTTAACATGATGATCCCACTCCGGCATCCCCATTTCTCTAAGCCTCTGAGTCCCCTCATCAACAGTCCCACCAAACCATAGGATCTCTAATTCATTCATAGTGGGCTGTCTTTTGATTCATGTTTCTGCCAAGCAGCCAAATGAACTAGTAACACCTTTACTTACAAGCTGCAATATTCAATTGAGAGTCTCTTGCTTACCACAGGCTCAGTGAACAAATGCAGCCTAATCCAGGTGTATATTTCTCCCACTTTATCCCACACCCATAAACTCTATTCCTATACTTGCTGATCAGGACTCTTCTTTAAGAGTTAGAAAATTCAAGAATTTGGGAGAATATTGGTCTTCCTCTAGGTTACACTATGTACCCACCCTTAGAAGCCTTCTGTGATTTAAGCCTGGCCATAGGCCTAGAGGTAAAAGTAAGAGTTGAGAGTGGGTCCTGAGGAATGTCAGCATTATCATGCTTGGTCAACACAGGGCTAGTTTCCTCAGGTACAACAGAAGTCAGCACCATAGAGGGTAGGGGTAGGGATGTCTCTACCACTGCAGGTGGGGAAATCTTTTCCTTAGGTAAAATAACTTCATTTTGCTAGAAACTTAACATCCCAGCTTGGTCAGGATCTTCCCAAACGTCTCCATCCCAATTTATGGAGTCCCATTCTTGTCCGATCGTTGCCCTCACCTTTGCTTCAGATACCCTTTGAGGCTGAACATTAAACTTACCTTGTAGTTCAGCCACATGAATTATGAGAGCCTTGGTTTGGGTTTCTACAGTCTTGACTCTGCAGCTAAAAGATAGGAGATTTTCTTTTAGGACACACTTAGAAACTTAAATTTCTTGTGTGTCTGGAGCTGGAAATTTGAGTTTTTGAGCTCCTTTTTTTTCTTTATGAATTTGTCCTCATAGTCAGAAGACTTTAGATCTCCTATGGATATTCTGACCTTATTGTTTTCCTTCCTTAATTTGCCTAGAGATGCTAAGACCAGCATCATTACATTTCCCACTCTGCCAAAAATATTTGAAACTTCCATGTACAGAATTGCTATATTCCTTACAAGGTAAATTGGCCATTTGGTAAATTGGCATCACCAAATGGATCTGCATTGTGTATTACTTTAAATTCGCACTAAGGATTATCAGTAGTCCCTACAGAATTAGAAGTAGAGACTGTGACATCTTTATGTCTCATCAAATTAGAAAGGCAACTCCAGGAACTCCTAAAGGCATTAACACATTTCATCTTTAAAATTCTGCTTCTCTAAAGCCATCTCAGTACCAAATCTGTATCAGCCAGTGTTTACTAGAGAAGCAGATATAACACAAGATATACAAATATATAAGAATTTATAAAATTGCCTCACAATGGCCACCCATAGAGTAAGATGAGGAAGAGTGCAGAGGATCTATCTGCACAGTAGAGGCCAAAGGCTTCAGTTGAAGGTCTGGAGCTTATTACAGGTCAGCAGTGTCCTGTATAAGTCCACATCAGGAGGCTGATGGGTCTGCAGTGGACAGCTGAGGAGTCTAAACCAGAAGGCTGAGGGTCTGCACCAGAAGCTGAAGCATCTGCACTAGAAGCCAGGACATGATATGAAGACTGGAACTCCTCTGAAGAAACAGAAGCAGATGCATCCTTTTCCATTTCCCCTTTATACTATCCAGGCACAAAGCTGCCCGAGGGTGGGCTTCTATACTCTAAGGTGTAAAATTTCTGAGCCAGTTTACTGAAGTTACACAATCAGTCATCATCACAGCAGTGAATTCTTAGATTTACACCAACAACATGAGCAACAACAAAAAAAAATAGATAAAATGGACTTCATCTAAATGAAAAAACTTTGTGCACTGAAAGAAATTATCAAGAAAGTGAAAAGAGGTTATTTAATAGAGAAAATGTTTGCAGATTTTCTGTTTGATAAATCTGATATCCCAAATATATAAAGAACTCTTCTAATGCAACAATAAAAGGGTAAACTATTCACTTTAAAAATGTCAGTGAAGGACTGAATGGACATTTCTCCAGAGAAAATATATAAATACCTAATAAGCACATGAAAGATGATCAGTGTCATTAATCCAGTAAGAGAAAGAAGCAAATCTAAGCCACAGGGTGATGATATTTCACATCTAAGATAGATGATGGTGGAAATAAGTGTTGGTGAGGATGTGAAGGAATTGGAACCCTCGTATTCTGCTCTTAAAAGTATGTAATTATTCTGCTGCTGTGGAAAACAGTTTGGTGGTCCCTCAAAGAAACATAAAATATGTTAAGCCTCATCAAATATGATGAGACCATAGAATACAATTAGGCAATTCCATTCCTAGGTGCATCCCCTTAAAACTGAAAATAGTAAACATATGTTTGTAACAACAGTGTTTACAATCGCCGAAAAGTAGAAGTAATCCAAATATCAGCAGATAAACATACAAACTGTGGTACACACACACACACACACACACACACACACAATAGATTATTATTCAGCCATAAAAAGGGATTCAGTAGTAGTCTAAGTGATGCTGTAGATAAATCTTGAAAACTTTAAGTGAGATAATCTAAGTGTATCATTCTGTATGATTCCACTTATATGAAATAATAAGAGTAGGTGGATCCACGTAGACAAAATAGATTGGTGGTTGCTGGGGAGAGGATGAGGGATAATTGCTTAATGTGTCTGGCTTCTTTTGAGGGTGATGAAAATGTTTTGGAATTGAATAGCGATATTGGTGGGTGGACATATTGTGAATGTACTAAATGCCACTGAATTGTTCACTTTAAAATGGTTAATTATACGTTTTTCAGATTTCATCTCCATAAAAGAAAAGAAATCTACAAAACAAAAGTCAAGCTTCCACACTTTGGTGCTTTAATTATTAGCACTAAAAGATACTTGGTAGATGCTAGTATGTCAGGACACTAGTGCCTGTGATCCTTTGAGAAAATTTCTATGTGGTTTCTGATTACAGGCTGTCTTCTTTCATGAGGGCAAGACCCCCTAGACCTGAATCAGATTGCTAAAATCCGATGCTGTCTGGAACCTGAGCAGCAAGTGTTTGATTGGTACTTGGAATAGCTGGGTATCAGGCAGCAGGCAGAGTGGGGCTTTGGTGGACTTGAGCTATAGCTGTGCTGTCTAAAGTCATCTCATTCAAGGCATGCTACTGCCCTATCCTTGCCACCCCTGCCCTTTTTTTTTTTTTTTTAACAGAATAAAACAAAACAGAACAAACCAGATCAGAACAATAATGCAATCAACACAAGAATTTAAAACAAGACAACAGGAAATCAGCAGTGGCTGCTGATAATGTCTCTTGTTTTCTTTGAAATAGTTGTCCGTACCTTCACATACAATAAATTCAAACAAAACAAAATAATATAAAACCAACCAAAAGAAAAGAATGAAAGCATTACAGGACTTTAAAACAAGAGGCAGGAAATCAACAATGGCTATAATGTCTCTGTTTTCTTTTTTTTTTTTTTCTTTGAGACAGGGTCTCGCTATGCAGTTCCGGCGGGCCTTGAGCACACTTTGTAGCCCAGCCTGGTCTCGAACTCGCAATGATCCTCCCACCTCAGCCTCCCAAGTGCTGGGATTACAGGCGTGAGCCACCATGCCCAGCTCAATGTCTCTGTTTTCTTCAAAATAGCTGTCCATACCCTCACACCATTTGTCATCCCTTTTTATTTTTATTTTAAAGAGATTAAGACAAACGAGGACAGAACAAAGCAGATCAGAACAGAACTATGTAAGCAACACAGTACTTCACCACAAAACAACCCGAAATTAACAGTAGCTACCATAATGTCTCTTTCTTTGAAATAGTTGAGCATACCTTCACATACAATAGTATCAAACATAACAAAATAGTATAAAACCATTCAAGAGAATGAAAGTATTATAGGGCATTCAGAACCAAATAACCGAAAATGAACAATGGCTACTATATTATCCTATTTTCCATAAAAAATTTGTTTATACTCTCACACATATTAAAATCCAATAAGATACAACATGATAGGATCAATGGAAACAGAAGAACAAAAGCATGGTAACACTTAAAAGCAAGATGATAGTAAATCAGCACTGGCTGCCACAATGTCTTGTTTTCTTCAAAATAGCTGTTCATACCATCACACATAATAAAATCAAATAAAACAGAATAAAACCTTTACATCTAATGAATGAAAACATTACAAGGCTAGATGCCATGAAGTTGGTGGCAGTGTCGTAACCCTATGCGTGTTGTCAGGCCCAAGGGCCTCTTCCATCCTTATCAAGGGGAGTGCTAACCTTCTCTCCTTTCATACAATACTGCCATCCCTTTTTAGCCGTCCCACAGACTGATCCCATAAACCTTCATCCTCTTCCCCACTGTGCTCAGGACTGGACCCCCATAGTGTGTGTAAAAGGAAGGTCGCTGTCAGAGTTTTCTGTGTATGGGGTGCTCAGAGAAACAGCAATGGTTGATGGCTGCTGCTGAAGGGGGAGTGGTGGTTTCCTTAGTGTCACTTGCCTGGCTATTTGAATGTTCACTTCCTGTTATCTCTGCCACAGAAGACTAGAAATAGCTTCTGTTAATAGATGAGACAGAGAAAGTTTTTTTCCTCCCTTTTTTTTTCTTAAAAGTATGCCTCAGGATTCAAAGGCCTGCACCCTCTGCCGCCATGCTGGAAGCCCTGGGTAGGCAGGGGTGTATCAGGATGGGGGAGGGTGCAGAGGAAAGAGGCTTAGTCCATTAGGTCCAGGGAGTGGCTCTTCTCTTTTCTGCTTCCAGCTCTAAAAGCTGCTAGTAATCCCTCTGTGCTGCTCCTTTTCTGAGAATCAGGAAGGATATAGAGGTTTTGGTTCACATCCTTTCAGTGTGTAACAATTCAGTGGTCACTGCAGTGGGAGTTGGGGTAGGCAAAGAAGAGTATGAGTGTGTGACCCAAGCCACTTGCCTCTACCCTTGCCCTAAAATGTGCACCCAGAAGTACCATCATGAAAGATTCCCTTTTTTTAGATGTGGAAGAGCATCTTTTAATGTAAACACCTTGAAGAAGTAAAAGTGTCTCATCAAATAGAGAACCTAGGGAAGAAGGGAGGTTACAGCTAGTGGGAGTGAAGCTGGCACATACAGGGCTGAAGACTCATTGGTAGTTTCTTCAGTTTCCCTGGTTAGAACTGCCTGGGTACAGCGCTATCAGCAGTTTTTTTCATTATTTTGTCTCCAGTAGCTTTTTTTTTTTTTTCCCTCTGTTGCTGTTGGACTTGAATAACAGAGATGAAGGAAGGAACTTTCCTTCCTGCCCTGAAATCTTGCATATAGAATTCTCTGAAATATCCTTCTCACTACTGCACTTGACTAGTCTTAAAAAAAAAAAGAATTCTCTGAAATACCAGGTGGCCAGTGTCTGGCCCATGAGAGACTAAGCCTGCACAGACCCTGTGGAACCATCCACTTGTGAACATGAAGGCCTGGCTTCCATGTAACCAGAGAGCTCACTTACTGCCCGCTCAGTTTCTGACTGGTGACTGGCTCTTCCGCAGCTCTAGGAAAGTCAAGTGGCTCCTATACTCTAGTGCTTTATTGTCAGTGTTTGGTACTAGTTAGAGCTCAGGGCACAAATGCTGCAGTGCACCAGCTCCTCCTCCCTGGTATGTGTCACATGTCAGGCTGCCTGAGCTTCTGTCCTGGTATCTTGGTTGAGTGACTTGGGGAATCTGTTTTATAGTGCTGTATCACAGTTCCTGCATCTGTAAAACCAAGATGGCAGGATAAACTGAACAGCCATTGTTCTAAATGCTTGGGACCAAAATGTTTCAGATTTTGGATTGTTTTCAGATTTAGAAGCATTTGTATAGACTTTACTGGTTGAGTACCCTAAAATCATTCTTTGAGTTAGGGATGCTCAACCTATACTATTTACCTTGTAAAGTGCTTACATTAGAAGTAATATCTATAAAGTATGTGGCACAAAAATGAATGCCCTGAAGGTGTTTGAGAAACAATGGCTTTCACCGTCATTCCATGGTAACAGTTATGGAAGCCTGCAGGATAGGCCAGGAGGAAGGCTCTGTGCTCATGTAGTCCCGTGATTAATGCATTCTGGTTTCTTCTGCATTCTTTTCCTTGCCCAGTATTGATCCTGCAGAAAGTGGAGAATGGAGACCTGAGCAACAAGATCCTGAAGATCACTGATTTTGGCCTGGCTCGGGAATGGCACCGAACCACTAAGATGAGTGCTGCAGGGACCTATGCTTGGATGGCACCGGAAGTCATTCGTGCCTCCATGTTTTCCAAAGGCAGTGATGTGTGGAGGTAAGGCCCAAAAGTGCAGGAAAGGGTGCCCAGGTGTCTTTTGGTCTCACACATGTTTTAGGACTTAGAGAACTAAGATCACATAGAATCCTTGGAATCCCTAGTAAGTGTAAGTACTCCTCACAGCAGTCTGTGCTAATAACCACATTGCCATGGGGCATTTTCTTAAGCTTTAATCTACAAAAAAGATTCGTCAAAGTGCTGTGGCAAGTACCACTTCTGTGCAAGCCCATTCTGTGTTGGAGAGTGCTCCTTAGGAAAGACCAGTAGATTTCAGAGACAATGTGTATTCTCATGTCTGTCCTGCCCAATGACTCCTGGAGATCTTCCCCATATCAGCTTGGCTTGCTCAGCATCTGTGCTAGGCTTTAGTGGCTGTTACTGCTGGATCTGGATAGGTGCAAACACAGTGTTCCCTATGAGTTCCTGAGCTAGTGAGAATCCTTCATGCTGGGATTGTTTTGTTTTGATTTGTTTTTGTTTTGGGGGTGTAGAAGTTATCTTTTCCAGTTATCTAGTCAGTCTTTCACTCAAAGCTGCATTTGGTGGACATTGATCTAAAAATGGGAAAAGATGAGTCCCAAGCAAGCTGCAAGAATTACAAAGCTACAGACTACAAATAATCAACCATTCCTCCTAGTAAATGTGAGCCCAAGAAGTCACAAGGACATAGATCTAGAAAGTTTTGTTCCCATTGAGGGGGAATAAGCAACTGTAGAATGTAATCCTCATGGCTGTGAAATAGTAGGTGCAACACTTGGTATCCAGAAGAAAGGAAAAAGGACCTTAGAGAACCAGCATGCATTAGTCTATAAGTAAATGCTTCCTTGATGTGTTGCAAAATGGGCATTTGTGTGGAGGGATAGTGTGTATATATATATACACATTTTCTTTAAGTAATAGCTTTATTGAGATGTAATTCACATGCCGTAAAACTTATCTTTTAATGTATTTAAGTCAGTGATTTTTAATATATTTACAAATTTGTGCAGTGATCATCACTGTTACTAGCTTCTTAGGGCTACTATGGTACAACAGATTACAGCAAACAAGGAAATTGAAGGGAAGAGAAATTTATTCTTTCATAATTTTGGACATCAGAAGTCTGAAATGGATGTTAATAGGGCCATCTCCTCTTGAAACTCTAGGGGAGATCCTAATCCAGATAAGGATTCTAGATATTGGAACATCAACATATCTTTTTAGGGCCACTATTCAACCCACTGCAACTACTGTGTATTTCCAGAACATTTTTCTTACCCCCAAAAGAAACCCATACCAGTTTTCTCCCCCTGTCCTGTATTCCATGGCAACCACTAATTTATATTCTGTTTTTGTGGGTTTGCCTATTCTGGGCATTTCATATAAATAGAATTGTATAATATATATTCGTTTGCATCTCACTTCTTATATTTAGCATAATGTTTTCAAGTCTCATTCATATTATAGCTTATATCAGAAACCCATTGTGTTACAGTATCTTTTTACATGGATAGACCACATTTGTTTATCCATTTGTTGGGTGATGGACATTTGTGTTGTTCTCACTTTTACGAATAATGCTGCTGTAGACATTTATGTACAAGTTTTTCTTTGTGAGTATATATTTTCAGTTGTCTTGGATATATTCCTAGGAGTGGAATTGCTAAGTTATATGGTAATTCTATGTTTAGTTTTTTGAAGAACCAGCAAACTATTTTCATCACAGCAGCTCCCTTTGACATATATGAGGGTTCCAATATCTCTACATACTTTTAATAGTCGTTATTGTCTGTTGTGGTCATAGCCATCCTGGTCTGTGTGAAATGGAATTTCATTGTAGTTTTTGACTTGTATTTCCCTAATGACTAAGGATGTTAATTATATTTTCATGTTTTATTAACCATTTATTTATCTTTTCTGAAGAAATGTCTATTTAAATCCGTTACCAATTTAAAAATTAACTTTCTATCATTGAATTGAGTGAATTCCTTATCAAATATGATTTAAACTTTTTTCCATTCTTTGTTTTTTTATACTTCCTTGATAGTGTTTTTTGAAACACGTTTTTAATTTTGATGGTGTACTTCGTCTATTTTTTCTTTTGTTACTTGTAGTTTTGATGTCATACCTAAGAACCATTGCCTAATCTAAAATCATGAAGACTTATACCTATATTTTCTTCTGAGAATATTATAATTTTAGCTGTTACATTTAGGTTTCTGATCCATTTCTACTTAATTTTTTAATATGTTGAGTTAGGGGTGAAACTTTATAATATTGTTAAACTATGTCTTTTAAGTTTTCCCAGCACCACTTACTGAAAAGACTGTTATTCTTATGTCATTGAGTTGTCTTGCACCTTTGTCAAAAATTAGTTTACTAAAAATATGTAGATTAATTCCTGGATTTGTAATTGATTAATCCCACTAATACGTGTCTGTCATTAGGCCAGTACCATCCTTTCTTGATTACTGTAGCTCTGTAGTAAGTTTTGAATTTAGAAAGTGTTAGTCTTCCAGTTTTGTTCTTTGTAAGACTGTTATACGCATTCTGAGTTCCTTGTGATTCTTTATGAAACTTAGCATCATTTTGTTGTTTTTTGACAAATTAATAATCTGTTAATAGAAATTGTGTTTAATCTGTGGATTACGTTGGGAACTATTTGACATCTTAATAATAATGTTTTCCAGTCTATGAATCCAGGGAGGGCAACAAAGTAGACTGAATCTGGGGTAAATCACATTGACCTCTGCCCATCTGCTCCTGGTATGTCTTTTCATTTATTTAGGTCTCTTCTAAATTTTTTTTTGTTGTTTTGTAGTGCTTGTATATTGATCTCATTTCACCATATATTGATTATAGAGTGAAAGAACTAATGAGAAAGTGTGTTCTTCTGTCCTTATAGGCCTTGCTTTCATTAGGTTGAGCACTATTCAGATACTCAACAGTTTGTGATACATGTCTGGAATCCCAGAATTTGGGAGGCTAAGGCAGGAGCATCTCAAGTTCATGGCCACCCTAGACTACACAGTGAGTTCAAGGCTAGGCTGAATTACGTAGTAAGACTGTCTCAAATCAGACAGAAACTCAGCAGTTTCATTTTACTTTAATGCTTTAGTTGCTTGACCATATGCTAGTCAGATTATTATATGAATTAAGCTAAACTGGTACTACGAGGAGACTTACAGATCTGGAGCCTTAAGTAAGATACCAGCACATTTCTTTTTTAAGTAGTGCAGCCAGTCTAGGGTGACAGAACAGCTGTGCCCACAGAGTCATTCAGAAATCCAGGTTATTTCAGGTTCCTTTCTGTGCATTGTTCTTTTCTGAATGGTTAAATGTGAGTGTCTATTACTTTTGTTTACAATGTGGAAAAAAAGAGAAAAATGAGAAAGAGAGCTTATCCATAGAAAGCAGCTTGTTTTTAATTTGGAGACAGGGGTGTACACATCTCTTCTGTGTGTACTCTGTTGCCTGTACTTGGTTGTGTGATCACATCTGGCTCCAAGGAAGCCACACAAATGGAGGCGTTAGCTGGACAATTCTGTGTTTAGCTAAAACTCTTACTATGGATGCTAGGGATAGTAGATTTGGGGAGATCATCCAAAGCCCCCAAATCCTAGCCCCTTGCTGCACTAGACTTTCCCTTACCTTTTTTCATGGGAAGCCAGGAAGAAAGGAACGTGCTTGTTTTCTGCTTTAGTGTTCCTTTTAACATGTCTTCTGCTGCTTGACCCGGAAATGTTTTTTTTTTTTTTTTTTTTTTTTAATTTTTTTATTCTCACATACTGCAGTTTCTCCTGGTGATGATTTGGACAGAATTGTCTCATGTGTCCAAACACATCCCTTGTAGGAAGAGAAAGCAGAAATGTCTTCTTATAGTGACAGAAATGTGAGTCAGGAAAGTGCAAGGTTGTTGGAGGAATTTGTCCTCCATGAGTGGAGCAAGTCAGGACTAGAATATTTGGAATGAAAGTCAAAAGGTCCAGCCTTGCGCCTCTTGTGGAAGGCAAACCCCTCCTCTTTTACCCTGAGCATCCTTATTCCAAAGCTAATGTCCACCTCTTGTCCTTCAGCTTCAGTTCCTGAAAGTTGGCTTGAGGAGGCTGTGGTGAGAGGCATCTGATACAATTATTTGACTCTGTAAAGAGAATGACTCAGAGGTAAACCTCAAATCAACAGAGCTTTGGGTGAAGTAGTTTGGATATTGTCACATGGTCTACTAGTGGAGTCTCTGGTTTAGAATTGTCTCAGAACTTAGGCCTCATGACCCAGTTTGGTTGATGAATGTGGTTTGAAAACATTTCTGTCTGCTTTGTCCCAGCTTCTATCCTGCAAGATTTTCTTTAAGACACAAGATATTGAACCTATTGCATGGGCCTTAATCTCTCTTTTCTCAAGCCTACTCATTGAAATGACTCCATAAGACCTCTCACTGCTACCAGAGGAAAATGTGTGCCCTCACTAAATATACAGCAATATTTAGACACTAGCAAAAGTCACCAATGGTATTCCTTTCCACAGTGAGGGGCCCACCATGCCTTGGATCCCCCAGCATATCCCAGAGAAGGCCAACACCTGCCTAGGAACTTGGTTCAAGGCTGGTTTCCAAATTGGCTTATAATTCATTTACTCATTGAAGAACTGTTGTTGAATGTTTATCTGTGCCTGATATTGTGGTGAGTCTGGTCCCATCATTCTTCCTCCCCACCTAGGGTCTGGGAGCCTCTGCTTCCCTGCTGTTGCCAGGGGTTTAGCCAGCTGAGGTTGTCTTTCTGCTCTGGGTGGCTCTGCAGGTCTCCTGCACATTCTGTGACAGAGGGTAAGATGATAATTGCCTGGATCCTCATTTATATAAATTTCATTCTGTCTGGATTGAGGGCTTCCTCAAGAAGAGTAATGCTCAGCTCTGCCCTGTGGTTGTGTTATGCTGGGAGAGCAGTGGAGATGATCAAGGGTACCTTCTCACAAGGGCTTCTTGCCTATTGTGTAGGGGATGAGTAGTGGCATTTTCTTAGTCATTTAAAACTTTTATTAAAAAGTCTCAATAGTAAAGTGGATGTGATGGCACACACCTGTAATTCCAGCACTTGGGTGGCTGAAGTGGGAAGATTGTGAGTTCAAAGCCAGCCTGTGATATATATCTCTATCTCTGTCTCTGTCTCTGTCTCTGTCTCTGTCTCTGTCTCTGTATCTATATCTATATGTCACAAACCATGCTCCCTTTAGAAAATACAGATAACAAAATACAGAAAAAAGGAAGTTAGCCTAAACCTCCTTACAGAGGTAACTTGTAATATTTTGGTATGTTTACTCTTACTCATGTGCTCAGCCACCCATTTTTTAGAATGAAATCATCTATTTCATAAGCTGCTTTTGAAATGTAATACAGCATGAATTTTCTTTACCACATTAATGAATGTTATTATGTCAAGAAATACATTGATGCATGTACTGCATGTGTGTTAGTAAACCTACCAGTTCAAATGTGTTAAGTAGCCAAAGTAATAATTGTATGTTACTTTACAATTTACAATGTTATTTCACATATATTTCTTCATTATCTTTGCCAAAGATGATTAGATACTCAGTGTGGTTCTGTGGGGTCACCAATGATTACCACGATCCCTGAGGTAACCTTTCTTACAACTGAGCAAGAGATTCCCCAACCCACTTCATTCAAGGGAGACTGATTCTCTCATTTCAGAAGATGATCCCAGGATGGCAGCCTTAGAGATACACAGGTTAATACGAATAAGCTCTCTGTCTCAAAACAGATGCAGAATTGCTGTGCCTGTGATTTGGAAGAGTTGTTATCTACTCTTATCTTTTCCTCAGGTTCAACCCCGCCCCTTAGGGCTTATTAACTTTCTGAAGGTAGATTATTAACCGGTTAATTATTAACCGAGGGTGAATTTGCCAAGGGTTGGGAAAGACAGATGTAGCTGAACAGGCCCTTCCAGACTGCTTGCACATGGTTTTGAAAGGAATTTTCACCTTCTTTCAACCTAGGGAGGGCAACAAAGTGAGACTGAATCTGGGGTAAATCACACTGACCTCTGCCCACCTGCTCCTGGTACTTACATCCACCTTCTATGTATTGTTTCAGTTTGTTTCTTGGGACTCCGTTCCTGCCTAAGCAATATCAGCTCTTCATTTATGTCATCTACCTTCCATTGTAAAACTAGAGAGACATTGGGACAGGAAAACTCCATGGTTTGGTTATTTCCAGAATGGCTACTTTTCTAAAAGTTGTTGTCCCTGAGCAAGGCTTTCCCCAGATGTTCTAGGCAGTACGTTGCTCTCCCCAGACACCTCCTCATTTCGGGCATCGTGGAGAAGACACTACGCATTCATTTACCAGCCACAGATGACAGTCTCTACAGGAGGAATGGCTCTTGTTATTTATTCCTTGTAACTATTCTAGGAGCCAGATACTGCAGTCTTTTTGTTCAGACAAGGAAACTGTGGTTTGGAGAGGTGACCTTGGTTCCTCAAGAGCAGGTAGCTGGCAAGTGATAGCACAGAATTTGACTCATATCTGTTAGTCTGTCTGAGGTAGCCTTTCTTACAGCTGAGCAGCAGCCTCATGCTTCTCCTAGCTGAAGAACCCTTTAAATAGAACCGAATGCAGATAAACAAGCCAACAGCTGCCCTCCTCAAAGCTGCAGAGGGTAGCATCTCGGGCTCCTCTTGCTTCCTAGTGGTCTGATACATCTCTGCCAGTTCTAGGACTCAGATAAAAACTGTCACAGAGGGATATCAGGGCACAAATAGTGCATGTTGTGTCTGTAAAGCACTCTGCTGTCTTTCCAGGTATTTAGGGCTTAGAAGCCAGTCATCTGTGGCTAGATGGAACACAGAGGAGCTATGGGACCTTTGGTTTTTATTCTCCAGGGTGGAAGTGGGCACTGATGCCAAAAGTGGGCAACTAAGGATGGGAATGGCTCTAACCTACAGATCTGGTCAGGACTGCTGAGGGCTATTTGAGGTCACTTGGTGAAAGCTACCCAGTGTGACAACTGTCTGGATAAGTCACAGTCCCAGTAAAGGTTGGGCAGAAAGTGTAGTAGTGCAAAATTGAGGCTTAATCTAGCCCATCTAGGGCCTCCTGACCATGCGCGCATTTCCATGCCTACCTATGAGCTCACATATTTGTGTACATGTAGTGTGTACAAGAGCCTGGGTTAGGCCATGAGAATGCAAAGATTTAAAAGTACTGTACTTGTTCTTTAGGAGTCCATATACCGGTAAAAAAACAACCATATTATGTAGGATCCCAAACAAGGGGATAGTAGAAAAAGCTTCTTAAGAGATCTAGCCACCAGCTACAATTTAAGTTGTCTAGAAAAGTCAAGACCTGCAGCTCCCCTGACAACATAAAGAAGATGATAAGGTCTGGAAGTCTCAGGAGGGTAAAACCATGGTGGAGAGAGACTAGCCATGCCACCATGAGGGCCCATAGGTAGACTCTGGCCCACTGGGTGACACATTACTCTTTGAAGCCAAGCAAACTCACTAGGAATGCTTTGAGAGCACCCCAACTCTGGGCTGCTCTAGAGATTTGTCTAGATTACTTGTCTCTGTGCATGCTGCCCACGTCTGGAGATCTGGGCCCTTCCTTCTAAGGTGTTAGCTCAAGGTCCATCTTTTGTTCCATCTTTGCCTGCTTTGGAAGGTCCTCTTTGTGTCGTAGTATCCCTTACCATGACTCATGAGTTTGTATTCCACCTGTTGCCTCGTCTGTGTTTCTCACTAATGTTTACAGATAAGATCTATATTGTTAATCCTATGTCTCAGTGCTTGGCATTGAGCTTTATGCCTGATACATATTTAGTAGATGTTTAAAATGAATGAATGAATATATGGTGGATATTTGAGTTGGGTCTTTAAAGATGATAGCATTTACTAAGTAGAAATGATAGAAGGACACTCTAGTGAGAAGAAATTGTGAGTTGGGTCAGGGCCCACAATGATGTACTCCATGTATGTTCTTTATATATGCTGCTGAACCTAAGGCTTGCTTTCCTCATCTGCTAAGTAGTGATAACATTTATTACACTGGCTTGGTGTAGGGATCCCAGTTAATGTTTGGAAAGTGCCTTAGCATTCTGTACAGATAAGGTATCACAATAAATAGATTTTACATATATATATTTAAAATGGCCTTTGCTGCTGGCTGCACAGAACTAATGACTATTACAAGAAAGTTGAGGTTGGTATTGAAAATACAAGCACCATTCTTCTGACTCTTCGTAGGCTTATGGTTTCCTGTCCTGATTTATTCTTACGCTGGCTTTGATTGAGAATTCATAGAACAATTCTTACAGTAAACTTTGTGTTCCACATTCTCTGAATCACAGGAAATGACAAATTCCTTATGTAGACTTGAACGGTAGGGCAGGCACACTAAAGCTGTCAGACCTGATATGTGCACTGCCCTCCTTACCTCAGTAAAATAGAATAGTTTGCTGATAGTCTTGTTGCTGGGGAGTGATGGAACAAGACTTTGGAAACAACTGTGCTTGACTCCAGTGTTTTTGCTTTTCACTAGTAGGCTTTATGGCTTCCTTTTTCTATTATATTAGTATATCTATTTTATTTGTTTCCCTGTGTGTTAGGAGACTGAGAAATGCTTGTAAAGCCTCACAAGCTATTTCACTGAGGTTTTGCCTTTGGTTTATTGTATGGTATCTATCTTCTTCCTCTCCCTAGCTACGGGGTGCTGCTTTGGGAGCTGCTGACGGGGGAGGTGCCCTTCCGAGGCATTGATGGCTTAGCAGTGGCTTATGGAGTGGCCATGAACAAACTTGCCCTTCCTATTCCTTCTACATGCCCAGAACCTTTTGCTAAGCTCATGGAAGGTAAGTAAATTCTCTCGAGCAAAACAGGAGACAGACAGTATACCCGTTCACAGTACTTGGTAGATGTTTACCAATTTCCTAAGATCAGTTTTAGAAAGAGAAGATATTTTTCTCTTGATGAGGAGTCCTGTGGGCATTTGGAAGACCACTTCAAAACGATGGCAACACCCTGTGGTAGCAGGTTTAGAAGGGACCATCTGCAGTGACTGTAGTGTTAACTTAGTAACTGAGGCCTGCTATCCATTACTTTAGTATCTTATCAACACAAAATAAGGTGTACACAAAATAGCCCTTATTTCAGGATCTCTAAGTGTCTTACATATAGAAATGGACCACGGAGAAGAAAGGAAGTCTAAAGTATTGAATCAAATCCCACAATTTTGTAAGTCAGAAAGAAAAAGCTGAGCAAGGTTAAGTGGCTAGGCAGTTACTTTAGTAGCAGAGCTGGAATTAGATGAAATTGACTTTTTCCACTCTAATGCTTTTATCTTTGCCTTCTTATCATTCCACTGTGGGAGGTGGGCCGGAGAGGGTAGCTCATATTTATGGAAATTGAGGGCTGGGCTGTAGTTACCCATTGCCAGACTTGAATCATATACTGACATGGTAAATTGTGGCGGGAAACTGTTGATTTTCATATACTCTATTCATATCGGTGCCACAGTTCAGTTTCCAGCTTCACTCAGCTTTATTTCCTGAGTTGTATTTGGGATTACCTAAATTCCAGTTTGTATCTGGAAGGAGAAAGGAGAATTTCCTGGTAAACGAGGTCATAGAAATAACCCAAGTCTTCTGTTTGCCTTTGCCCATTGACACTCTCTTTCTTCATGTATTCTTTTCAGACTGCTGGAATCCTGACCCGCATTTACGACCATCTTTCATGAGTATCTTGGATCAGCTAACTACTATAGAGGAGTCTGGCTTCTTTGAAATGCCCAAGGACTCCTTCCACTGCCTGCAGGATGATTGGAAGCATGAGATTCAAGAGATGTTTGATCAACTCAGGGCCAAAGAAAAGGTAAAACAGAAAAAAGGTGTGCATTGGCTTAGTGAACCTTTTCCAATAGGACTGTGGACTAAGTCTGCCTGACACCATGAATTTTGACATAGCCACCTTCCTGGATGGTATCTGCCTAATTGTGCACACAGAGGGAGATCATGAGTGTCTTACCTGTCACCTGAAAATATGAGGATTTTAGAAAGGTTTCTTGGCTCTACAGTAGACTTTTTTTTTTTTTTTTTGTATTTTTTGTATTTTTAACCAGTACCAGGGATCGAACTTACGACTGTCTGCTTGCAAGGCAGGTGCTTATGCTGCTGAGCTAAATCCCCAGCCCCTACAGTAGACTTTTTAGAGAGAAGTTCACTTCTTGTAGGGCTACTTCAACATTTAGAAAAGCTATCAGAACATCCCACCAGCATCTTTTGGTATCAGAGTCAAACAGATTATGGACTAGAAATACCATGGATCTGAAATTGTGTGTTTTTCCTGAAAGAATTCCAGGCTCAGACCAGGTGGGGGAGTTCACAGAGTGCTGGCCTGCTAAAGATCTGTCTTTGAGTTTCAATGGCAATTTCTTTGGATATCGTTAGCACGACTGCCCACTCAGGTGAAGCCAATCATCAACAGGTAGGCAGCTTATCATGTAGGTACAGGCTTAAGTCTGAGAGGTACAACCAGGGGCCCAAATGATGTCCATATGAACGTGGTTAACTTCTTGTTTTGCTTCTCACTCTGCACTCTGCAGGAATTTGGGAGGTTAATAGCAACATGATAGTAATAGTAGCTAAAATGTTATCTGGCTTTATTGTTTTTCAGGGTATTTTATTTTTTTGCTCAAAGCATCCGCTGAGGTCCTTTTGTTCTTTTTATCCAGGAGTCTTCTGGCTCCTGTTACCATTATACATTGGAGGTGTTATTTTCTCCGTCTCAGAACTGAAGATCAGTAGTTTCTTCAAGTCACAGAGCTACTAACCTTGACTATGGACCTTCTGATTCTAAAACCTATGTTGGTGGCAATATTATTGTTGTTCTCCTACCCAAATAGAAATAATTTTTTGGAACTGATTTGAAGAGCTTTTATGTAACACAGCAATCCTAAACATAGCATCTTTTGGCAAGTCATTGAATATTTTGCAGGGACCCTGCTGGGTACATCTGCACTGAACATTAAATGAAATGATCTCAAGAAACACTTGTATCATCACTGCTATGGCCTTTAGAAGAACTCCTAGAGCAGCTGGCTTTGTTTTAGATTGTTAAATCACTAGCTTTAAATTCACCATCTTTCTTTTGATTGATAAAAGCACAATGTAGTTATAAATTACATAAACCAGTGAGAAAAATGAAAAGTAGATTTTGTCAAAAGTAGTTACAGGAATCTCTCCTTACCCATGGTTTCATTTTTTTTTTTAAGTTTCAGTTAACCACAGTTAACCATTATCCAAAAAAAGTCAATGGAAAATTCCAGAAGTTTTAAATTACATGCATTCTGAATAGTGTAATAAAATCTTGCACTGTTTTATCAGGATGTCAGTCATCCTCTGACCTTATGTAGCTGCCTGTTAGTCATTCAGTAACAGTCTTGGTTATCAGATCAACTATGTGATATTGCAGAACCTGTGTCCAAGTAACCCTTATTTTGCTTAACTGTGACCTCAAAGTGAAAGCTTAGGGATGCTAGTGATTTAATTATAGTATATTTAATTATTGTTGCTTATCTCTTTCTGTGTTAAATTTCTAAATTAAACTTGATCATAGCTGTGCATTAGAGGAAGAGACACAGTATGTATAGATTTCAACACTGTGGCTTTAGGCGTCCACTGGAGGGCTTGGAACATATCACCATGGATCAGGGGGCATTCCTGGTCCTAGGAAAAGTCAAATGCATTCTCATACCAGCTCATGTTATAGAGCATGCAGTGTATGCCATATTGTTATAATTTTTATGAATTGTTTTAAATGTATGATGTCACTACTGCTAACTCCATATTACTTGTGATGCACTTGTCATGGCCCTAGCCCCATCTCTAGATGGGCTTGTGATATCCCCTTCTCTGGCTGTGTCCTCAGTACCCCTTACCCCACCACACAGGATGGTCAGTGTTCACTCACATCCAACTGCTGAGCCTCATCTCTCCACCAGGCATTGTGGGAGGACCCTCCAGGTTGCACGAGTCCTTGGAGAACTCTCCAGCCCACCCAGAGCTCCTCTGCACTGAGCAATCCACTTTCCTTCTGACAAATCTGCCCACCTTGCAGGAGCTCCGCACCTGGGAGGAGGAGCTGACACGGGCTGCGCTCCAGCAGAAGAACCAGGAGGAGCTGCTGAGGCGTAGAGAGCAGGAGCTGGCCGAGAGGGAGATTGACATCCTAGAACGGGAGCTCAACATCATCATCCACCAGCTGTGTCAGGAGAAGCCTCGGGTGAAGAAACGCAAGGGCAAGTTCCGGAAGAACCGGCTGAAGCTTAGAGATGGCAACCGCATCAGCCTCCCCTCTGGTCAGTGGCCTTGGGTGAAGTGGGAGAAGGCCAGGAGCTCATATGGAGCGGGGTTTGTGGGAGCTGCTGCTCAGCTTGGAGACACAAGACTGGAGGTCTCAAGTGGATCTGTTGGAATGGGTCATTGTATGCTGTGGAAAGACTGGTTTGCTAACAATTACCCCATTCAGAACTGTAGAGTGAGAATGAATGTAGACATGAGGTGAAGAGAGACTGACATGGTCCAGGCTGCTGGTCAGGTGGCTCGGCCATTGTAGCTGGACATGCAGAAGGGACCAGGCAGTTGTGGGTTGTCTGTGGTGTATGTGTTGTTGTTTTTTTTTTTTAGTGGTACCAGGAATTAAATTCACAACCTTGCACTTGCCAGGCAGGCACTTATGCCCCTCAGCTAAACCCAGCCCTGCAGTGTATATATGTGAGACAGGAGAAATCTTGGCTCTGCCCAACAACTCATCTCAAGGTTTCTTTAAATAATTAGTTTTCTGAGTGCTGTTGAGATTGAGTCTAATATATAACCTTTTAGAAATGCACAGACTAAATACAGATACATTTGTGGAATTACAGCCTTTAGCAAAATGCAAAGGAATATGAAACTATGAATTAGAATCTTTGTGGTGTGTATCATATCTTTGGAGGCAGGTGATTGTTCAAGTGTGTGTTTGTATAGATAAAAATGTTCTTTGTGTTCTGAGTCTATAAGGCCCTAGAGAGCAAGCTTATTAGAAGTGTAAGGAACTGAGGAAAAATGGCGTAATAAGAGCAGCTGTGGATGGTTTTAAGCCTTAGGCACAGACCGGGGAATTCTGAGAATGTGCTCAAAGGCTGTGTTTACTGGTTTCCTTGTTGTACATTTTTTTCTTTTCAGATAGTGTGGAGTCTTTAAGCCCCTTTTGAGCACCTAGCCTGTGCCCATATAGTGCTGTGCTGGGGATACAAATATAAAAAATATAGACCTCATCTGCAGGAGTTCACAGTCTAGCAGGGAGACCTAGGTGCAAACAAGCAGCCGTTTATTATGCCTCTTAGGAGACAAACTCAGAAATTCCAAGCTGTACGTTTTATGTTCTTTATGCTGTACCATAACTGCCTTTGAAACATGTCAGAACTGGGGTACTTGCCCTATCTGTCTTGGTTCCCTAGGTCCCCCACTATGGATTAGCTTTTAATATCATGCTCTGGCTGCATGGAGGGAAGGGCATTTATCTCCCTGCTCTGGTCCCTGAAAAGAAGGCATGAAACCAAAATTTTAAGTTACATTTCCTACGATAGTCAGCAAGATCTCATGAGCTAAATAGCTGCTCTCAATGTGTAATTAATCTTGTTGTACCCATTGAAAAGAGAGATTATGAAGACTGTCTTAGTGATATTTACTTGGATAATGAACTTTTCCATTATTTCATACACTCATCTTGCCATGTCCCTTTGGGAAAAAGAGAATTCTGAAAGATGAACAGAACTTTGCAGGAAACTGGGCCCCTATCCCTTAGACCAGTGAAGAAATGTCATATTTGTTAAATAAATTTGATGATGGGATAATTCTAATTCATATATGTGTTTGTCTTTTCCCCAAACAGATTTCCAGCACAAGTTCACGGTGCAGGCTTCCCCAACCATGGATAAAAGAAAGAGTCTTATCAACAGCCACTCCAGCCCTCCTGCAAGCCCCACCATCATTCCTCGCCTTCGAGCCATCCAGTGTGAGACTGTTTCCCAAGTTGGTTGGGGCCAGAACACACTAGGGGCATCTGTCCCCTGCTTTATCCAGCCACCGACTGGTCCAGGCTTGCTCCATCCATAACTTCTGCCACCTCTCCTCAGCAATGTGTATATACATGCACATATGTACGCAAATCTATAGTTCCCCCAACCCTGTCTATCTCCGTTAACTTGACTCCTGCCTACTCCACCTTGTACACTTGGTCAGATATCAGCAAAGGGGTCTGTGGGTACTGAAGGATCTTTGGTGAATTACAAAGCTTTTAGGAGCTGGTATGTGATACAAGATACAGATTGGTTCACGGAGCCAGGGACCCAGTGCACTCTCAACCTCATTGTTTTTCTTTTACAATGCTTCTCAAGGAAGGGCTTTTCCAAAGTCTAGGTATTAAGAAAACTTGGCAAATATTTCATAGAGGGCCAAACCGGGACTGCTTTCATTTTGACCATAGTATTTGTTTAAAACAAAAAAAATGAGCATATATGTATGTATGTATATATATGTGTATGTGTGTATATATATATATCTATATCTATCTATATCTATATCTATATCTATATATATATATATATATATATATATGAATGAATGAATGAATGAATTCGTTTCCCATTGTAAAGATGGATTTTATTTAAGATAGTAGATTTCTGGCCTTCCTTGAAAAATCAGATCAGTAGGTTTCCTTTTTATGCAGCCACAGTTGGCTGGAACTGGTAGCAGCTTCTGCGAGCTCCAGTTTGCCTCAGTGCCCTCAACTCTCTTTGTTTTGGTAACTGATTCCCTGCACTCATTTCTGATACAAGCCTCTCCCTGAGCCTGTGGGTCTCAGCTCTTGCTCTAGGTAACAATGTGAGAAGAATGTCCCACCTGTCTTCCATTTCTCTGTGCCTGTTCTTCCCCGCTCTCCTTCTCCACTGGACTTCTTTGCCATAGCTTTGAACCCCTCATTTTCTTCCTTTTTAGGTCTTTCTTTCCAAAAAGTTTTGTTCTTCCTATTTACCTTACTCCTCAACCCTCAACCTCCATTAATTTCTTCATTCTCTACCATCCAGTTCTACCCCCAAAGGCAAGTTTTTCATTCAGATCTGTTTGGAACTCTGTATTTGACTGGCTTGAGTTCATGTTCAGTAATTTGAGAGAGCTAAATGATTGGTGACTGGGGACTCTATTACATGGCTGGAATGGTCCACCTGGGCACAGAGTTTCTGATGAGATCTCACCTCCCTGCTGCTCCTTGTGTGCGTGCATGCGTGTGTGCTTGGTAAAGGCTAGCTTTGGAGGGCTGGTTGTCTGTTTTCTGGATCTTATCCAACCTTTATTCACAGTGACACCAGGTGAAAGCAGCAAAACTTGGGGCCGGAACTCAGTCATCCCAAAAGAGGAAGGGGAGGAGGAGGAGAAGAGAGTCCCAAAGAAGAAGGGCCGGACATGGGGGCCAGGGACTCTTGGGCAGAAGGAGCTCTCCTCAGGAGATGAAGGGTAAGAGCCAAGTGATAGGAATTCTCTCTCACTTAAAGATAGGTGCCTGTTTAAAAGCATGATGTGAAATACTTTTTTCTCTGTTGTGTGTTTCAGTGCTTTCTGAGAAATTACAGGCTTATTGGTTTCTATAGCAGCCTTTTCCAATCTCTTGTTTCTTGGGAACCCCCCAGGACAGAAATTAGTAAGCTATTTCTATAAAAAGCCAATAATAAATATTTAGGTTTTGTGATATATTGGGTTTTGTCACAGTTGTTCAACTTCTAAGTAGCCGCAATCTGCAGGTGATACATTAATGGCTAAGCATGGTTGTGTTCCAGTCAGACTTTACAGAAACAAATGATGGGCAGGATTTAGCCCACCAGTGTAGTCTGCTGATCTGTGTAGGTGGTCAGTGCAGAGTAGCAAGTAGCCCAAGCAATTAAGGAAATGAGGGAAGCTCTGCTTGAGTATTCTACTTACACTTGGCTCTTTCCCTTAAGAAAGAGGAGAGAGGCAGGGTTAATTGAAGACTTGTCCTAAAGCAGGAACAAACTAATCCTTGTACAGTTAGGTATATAACATGAGGGACACTAGAACTTTCAGGGCTCACCTCGTAGCCTTACGGAGGCATGTGAACCCACTACTGGGCAAAGCATGGAGGTCTTGGTGCCTTGAATGTGCTGGTCCTCCCTTGTGGGCTTGAGGCCTAAGATTTTCCTGAGTCTCCACTCTTCATAAGTCATGTGTTCATGGCGTCTAAGAGCTAAGATGCTGACACCAGACTTGTCTGGGCATGAGTCCTAGCTCCCCTATACCCAGTGTGGGAGCTTATATTTTCTCATCTGTAGAATGGGGTCACTATTAGTACCAATATTTTTGAAGTCCGTATGAGGATGAAGTGAGGGTATCTTTGTGAAGTGCATACATTAGCAGGCTTATAGTAAGCATGTGTCAATATTAGCAAGGTCGATTCTTCCCTGCCTCTCACATAGTTTTGTTTCATGTCAGAAGCATGGGTATCATGGTTTATGCTTCTTGTTCTTGATGTTAGACTCTAAAACAAAGTTTCCTCAGTTTCCTGTGAGCTTAGCCAGCAATTCACCTTTTTATTTTTTGTTTTTTTTAGACAGGGTCTCACTTTGCAGTTCAGGCTGGCCTTGAGCTCACTTTGTAGCTCAGGCTGGTCTTGAACTTATAATAGTCCTCCTTTCTCTGCCTCCCAAGTGCTGGGAATACAGGCATGTTCCACTGCATCTGGCTCCCTTCACCTTTTTTTAGTGACTTTCCAAAGAACTTCTAAGATTGACTATTGACTTGTGAGTGCCTTGAACGCCTAACTACATTGTTAATCTTTTAAATGCTAAGATATCATGTCCAAAATCTATTTCTTCTATGTTAGACTATGAGCTCAAAGAGAAAGTAACCATTTGGTTCATAAAGATTGACTCTGTGAAACTGGTTCCAGAAATCAGATATACAAGCTTAAATATTGCATAGTTTCTTTTATATAAGAAATCCAAAGTAGAAGTAAAAAACAAAATAAATGGGAAATAAGGAAGTAGATCTTTTGCACAAGGGAAGAGGAAAGGAAGTAGAGGGGAAGTGAACAAAAGAAGAATTAAGATATACTACATACCTGTACCAACTTCCCTCGAAGAATGTAAACATTGTGTACCACAAACATGCTAATAAAAATAAAAATTGAAAAAGAAAAAAATTAAAATATAGCAAAAAAACTTTTCAGGAATGCAGGATAAACTATGTATACTGGATATAGCATTAGCAATCGGATCCTTGGGTGACAGCAGATGGTACAGCTTTACCAAGTTCTATTGGAGCAAGAGCGTGTTAGTTGGTTCTGTGAGCCCCAGGCTAGGCTAGGGTTGAGTCAGGTCAGAGAAACTCAGTCATCCTGAATTGCTGGATATTTCTGATATTGTTGTAATTCCAGGTGGAATTAAACAGGTGGGCTCTAGATCTCAGAATATTTCAGTGGTTCTGTTTGGTTTAAAGATATTTTCATCTTAGTAGTAAATTAACTTTATTTCACATTATGAAATACCAACTTTGCACTCTTCCTCCTCCTTACCTGGATTTACCCTCACAAACTTATGAACCAATTTAAAAATTTGTGGCTTAAGTTCTCACATTCTTATTTAAAATTGCAGTTAAGTAAAAACTACTTTGATTTCAAAAATTTTTGAGAACTTTAATGTTTCTAACTTTAGTGCCTGTTGACTGAAGAAAATATATAATGGCAAATAACTATTTCAAATTTAGTAACATTAAGTGAATTTGCATCTTCAGCAGGAAATACACACTTGTCTGTAGACACCTTGGGTATTTTGGATTTACCAGCTATCTGTAGTTACCCTATGGCCACCCAGGGACCTTTACTGGATTGGGAGAACATGTCCCTGAAGCACTCAAACTGGGCCATTGTTACGATGCTTTCCTGGTGTGGGCTTTGCTGCCCAGACAAAGGGACGGCTGCTGGCAGCATTGCTGAGTCCAGCCGGCAGTTTCAGTGTGGGAGAGGCTGAGCTAGATGTGCCCTTCGTTGCCTCCTACTAATTGTCTTTATTCATTAAAGATCCCCTCAGAGACGTGAGAGAGCTAATGGTTTAAGTACCCCATCAGAATCTCCACATTTTCACTTGGGGTGAGTCAGAGCTTCACCCTTTCACCAGCTGCACTGGTAGCAATCAGCCTTCCATTGCTCTTCCGTTTTTTCTGTTCTTTCTTTCTTTCCTTTATTTTGTTTTATTTTAAGAGCAGTACCATCGTGCACATTGGGAAAACGCCTGTGTTAGCATAACTCACTTTCCTGACCACTCCAGTTGTTGGAATGCTCCTGGTATCCTTAGTTTTAGGGAGAAGGCACAATACTATTTATCCTTCAGTCTTGAATACTGCTTTTGACTTGCTAAGCTGGCTTTCCTTGAATCTAGTGTTAGAAGTGATGTAAAATCATTCAAAGTCCCAGGCTGTGGGTTAACACTATGTTTTTCTCAGGCTCAGTATTTTGGTTGAGACCAGTAAGAGGCTGGGATACACTTAACTCACTGGTGTTTCTGATAGTATCCAAAACAAAATTCCAGGATCAAGGAGAAAGCTGATCCTTCTCTATCTCTCAGGTGGCCTGGGACTCTGAGAGTGTAGACTTCAGTGCTTTAAGTATTAAAGAAAGGAGCCACCTCTGGCTCTAATTCTGGATCTTCAAAACCACCAGAGCACACAGATTCCCTAGTGCTACCTTTTATTGTTCTCTAGGAAAAGACTAGTGCTTTGTGGCTTTTCATTCTCTATGTGAGGGATTGAGGGGGAACCCAGTCTGTAACCTTGGGAGTTACTGGCTTGTCAAATAAGTTGATTCCAAGGACTTGAATGTGAGCTACTATCCTCTTTCTCTTCATCCCCAGATAAACCAAGGGCTCAAGTGCAGCATAATGTGCTACCCACATAGGTCTCTCCCAAAGTGCACAGGATTGGTGCAGTTTTGTTGGCTGATTTTTCCTTTTCTTTTTGTTTTTTATTTTATAATTTTTTGGTACCAGGGATCAAACCCATGACTGCATGCTTGCAAGGCAGGTACTTATGCAGCTGAGCTAAATCCCTGGCTCCTGATTTTTCTTTTTGAAAAGTGGATGGCTTTGAAAGTTGTCTAAGCATGTGGATGCTTGGAAGGGATAGTTGAGAAATAGTGTGAATAATGAGAGCCCATTTCTACTGTCTCATCTGGCCCATGTATTTCTAATGTGTTGCATTCAGTGTCTGTGCTTCAGTTGCTGCTTCCTAAGAAGGCCTCAGGCAAGACCTCCAGCAGCTGGACAGGCCTTGTTCTTTCTGCCTGCTTGCCACCTGCTCACCAGACTTTCCCATAGGTCAAGAGCATGTGAGGGACAAGGTCATACCGCTTTGCTTCTTTAGTGCATGTTCGTGAGGCAGATGGCTCAGTAAGAGTTGTTGTCTGCTCCCCGAAGCTCTTCAGTGTGGCCAGGTGGACAAGGAAAGAGGCATGTCCTTAGGCCCTTTGAAGATGGTGTAAAAGAAGCTGATTCTGAGAGTCTCTTTGTTTCCTGTTCTTCAGCCTCAAGTCTCTGGTAGATGGATACAGACAGTGGTCGTCCAGTGCCCCCAACCTGGGAAAGGGCCCGAGGAATAGTCCAGCCCTACCAGGGTTCACCAGCCTTATGGAGATGGGTAAGCATTACTCTTGGTTCTCTCCCTGTTCCCTCAAAGTTCTCGATCAAGCTCAGGTTAAAGGCCCCTAGAAACACTTCACCACTTCATCCTTCCAGTCCACTCTGCTTCCATCTCCTTGAGTCTTGCTAAGTCACAGTTGCTTCCCCTACTGTGATGAAGCTTGGCCTTGCTTCCTATCCCAAGGGGGGCCAGTTTTAGTTATGTCAGGGCAGTATAGAAGGGTGAGGCCTTGAATAAGAGTCTTCCTTTTCTGAGTCAGTTTCCTCATATCTGATAGGGATGGTGGTCAGAAACACTGTAGCCCTTGTCCCCAGAAGCTTTTCAGTGTCGCCCTGAGTACCGTATGGTGAGTAAGTTCTTCTCCAGGCTCACTCTCAGATAGTATTCTTTCTGTATGGATTTTAAGGTTGTAATAGGTCAGTTCATGGAAGAAACTGGCCTTCATCATGTAGGAGATTCTCATCCTTTGTGGAGACTGGGCTTAAGACACATTGTCAGGTTATCATTCTAGAAACCCTAAAGTCTTTCTAATCTTAAGGTACAAAAATACCAGGATATTTCTGTTCTGTTCACTGTTCTAGAAACTCATGCTGTACTTTATAGAGTCCCTATGGGGTTGGAAGTACAGCTCAGTGCCAGAAACTTGCCTAGCATCCTAGCATGTGTATGGCCCAGCACGGGATATCCAAATCCCAAGCACGGCACAAAAAAAAGGGTGGGTGGGGGGGACTTGGCTGCTGCCTATGAAAGAAGTAGTGAATTCACTCTTCTCCAAATAGGAAATATCCTCTGGAATACAGCTCCATCTCCCTGATTTGGTCACTGTTGAGTGTGGGGATGCATCCATATGGGTTCAGTGGCAGTGCCATGTCCTGATTGTCTCATCCCTGACAGACAGGGGACTGTGAGTTGGGGGAAATGGCCAGGTTCTTACTCTAGAGACTTGGTTTCCATTTCCTGTTTCTCCCACATTCTTGTCTGTGCAGAGGATGAGGACAGCGAAGGCCTGAGGAGTGGAGAGAATCGTCTGCAGCACTCACCCAACCAGCCCTACCTCTGTATCCCGTTTCCTCGTGGAGAGGATGGGGATGGTCCCCCAGGTGATGGAGTCCATGAGGAGCCCACCCCAGTTAACTCAGCCACGAGTACCCCTCAGCTGACACCCACCAATAGCCTCAAGCGCAGTGGTACCCACCAACGTCGCTGTGAGATGGCTCTGCTTGGCTGTGGGGCTGTTCTGGCAGCCACAGGCCTTGGGTTCGACTTGCTGGAAGCTGGCAGGTGCCAGCTGGTTCCCCCAGAGGAGCCTGAGCCACCAGTCCGAGAGGAGAAGAAGAGACGTGAGGGTCTGTTTCAGAGGGCCAGCCGTCCACGTCGGAGCACCAGCCCCCCCTCCCGCAAGCTCTTCAAGAAGGAAGAGCCCACGCTCTTGCTGGGAGACCCTTCTGCCTCCCTGACGCTGCTCTCACTCTCCTCCATTTCTGAGTGCAACTCCACCCGCTCCCTACTGCGCTCTGACAGTGATGAGATTGTGGTGTACGAGATGCCGGTCAGCCCAGTTGAGGCCCCACCGCCGACTCCATGTACTCACAACCCCTTGGTCAATGTCCGGGTGGAGCGCTTCAAGCGAGACCCTAACCAGTCCCTGACTCCCACCCATGTCACCCTCACTGCCCCCACACAGCCAAGTGGTCATCGTCGGACTCCTTCTGATGGGGCCCTTAAGCCAGCGGCTCCTGTAGCCAGCCAGAGCCCCTCCAGCAATGGGCTGAGCCCCAGTCATGGAGCAGGTGAGTCTTGGCCTCTTCTTCTGTTTCTCACCTTCCTTTGTAACTCCTCGGGAGTGAAGATGTTTGCGGGTGCCTTGCTTCTTCTTTCTCCTACAGGATTTGAGTAAGCTGCATTCTCCCTCTTGCTCGTTCAAGCAAGAAATAATGATCTGGGGTTGGGGAGGTAGCCATTATTGGCTGACTTCTCTCTGTCCTATACCTCAGGGATCTTCCCTGCCATTGCAAGAAGTCAGATAGGTTCTAGAAGAAGAGGCTCTGGGACTCCAGGAAGATGTTCAGACCCTGGGTCTGGGGCAGGGTGGTACTTCAGAACAGGAGAGGTAGAAATCTAGTTTCTGGCTATTTCCTGAGGATGCCCCAATATTAGGAGGGAATCTTGTACTGCACATAGGAAGGATATTTTCTGCCACATAGCTGGGCTCCTTCCTTCCATAATAATGTTAGCTCAGGCACATTCATAATATGAGCCTCCAACCATTCATCCTGCTCTTCAGCGTTCATCTCTGACTCATGGGCATGGAGAGGTGCCCAGGTAAATTACTGTATGTACTCAGGCTTGGCCTCTGCCTCTGATCCCTGTGGCTCCAGGTTTACACATCCGTAGCCTAGGACTTTCTTCCAGGCTTGGAAAATACCTCTAGTCCAGTGGGAGAAGAGGAGCTAGCAATCCCGTCTTAGTGAGATGTGTGAGTGACATTTGTATTCACTTGACCTTCCCTCTAGTGGTCTTCTTATTGTTGTTATTCTCATATATTTAACTTCTTTGGAAAAAGAGACAATATCACTCACTTTTAAGCTTAGAATACACAACTCCATTCTGGTCATATGTCTATTAAATGAGTGAACAGTAAATAATAGACATTCTCTTAAGCTAAGAGGTCAGCACACTGCTGGGAAAGCACCAGGTGGTAAATATTTTAGATTCTGTCGATCATACAGTTTTATTTATAACACTCAGCTATGCTGCTGTAGTTGGAAAGCACACCTTGAGTACATCTGCAGTGTGTTCCAGTAAAACTTTATTTTCAAACACAAATGATCAGCTTGTGGATCTTTTGCCAACATTTGCCTTTAATTATTTCATTCCTGATGTGCTCTTCATATATTTCATAGCTATTATAGACTATAAGAACATTGGCCCTCTAGTTCACTACTATATCCCCAGTAATTCCCAGTATACTCTGACAGATAGTAAGTGCTCGGTAAGTGTTCATTCGTTCATGTTATCTGGAATTGACAAGATGGAGAGGGTACAGTATGCATCTGACCTGGAAATGCTATGCTGTTATCTGATGTCTTCCTTTGTCTCCTTGACCAGGAGTGCCGAAAACCCCCAGTCCCAGTAGAGATCCAGGTGAATTTCCCCGTCTTCCTGACCCCAATGTGGTCTTTCCCCCAACACCAAGGCGCTGGAACACCCAGCAGGACTCCACCTTGGAGAGGCCCAAGACTCTGGAGTTTCTGCCTCGGCCACGTCCTTCTGCCAACCGGCAGCGGCTGGATCCTTGGTGGTTTGTGTCCCCCAGCCACGCCCGCAGCGCCTCCCCAGCCAACAGCTCCAGCACGGAAACACCTAGCAACCTGGACTCCTGCTTTGCAAGCAGCAGCAGCACTGTGGAGGAGAGGCCTGGACTCCCAGCCCTCCTCCCATTCCAGCCAGGGCCGCTACCCGACACCGAGCGGACGCTTCTGGACCTGGATGCAGAGGGGCAGAGTCAGGACAGCACTGTGCCTCTGTGCCGAGCTGAAATGAACACACACAGATCTACTCCTTATGAGATCCAGCAGGAGTTCTGGTCTTAGCGTGAAAAGGCTTGGCGGGGGGCGGGGCGGGCAGGCGACGGAGGGAGCTGGCTGGCACAGCCCTTTCCCAGAGTTGGGTCCCCTGAGATCCAGCCCTACTTCTTGCACTGATAATGCACTTTGAAGATGAAAGTGATGGAAGCAGGGCCTTTCTCCCCATGCCCACAGGAGAAGCTGTATCAGCTCTGGCTATGTAGGGGAGGGAGTGGTGCGTGCATGTCCTCTACCCTCCAGAGTCTTCCTCGCCTTTTGGGTGACACTGCAGAGTCACTCAGCCAAATTTGTCTGCTGCTGCTTCTCCTCAGCCACCTGGGTATGCCCAGAGCTGTCCAGGGGTCCCTTTGTTAACCCTGAGTTCAACCTTCCCACATACCAGTACTGGATGCTCTATGATTGATTCTGCTCCTTCATGCTCACCCCCAACATCTGTGAATCAGAATCTTTTTTGGTATAAGATATGTCCCAGGTCCCTTTTGTGCGAGGGGAAAGATTGAGTGCAAGATGGCCTACTTTGGGGCCCTCTTGTTGATGGGCTAGCTGTACCCCAGATGCCCTGCCTATTTATTTACACCATAGGTGATAAGGGGAACTGGCCCACTGAGAACTGGGAGTTAGGAAAAATACAGACAGGTTGCATTGAAAAGGGTGCTGGAGTCTTTGTGTCCCTCTACGCCACTTGGAAACACTCAGTGAAGGGTAGAAACCAGCACTTATCAAAGACCCCCATCTACCCACTACGGTCAGCACACTGGCATGCTAGGTTCTGATAACACATGCGTGTTCCTCCAGGAACAGCTTCTTGGGAAGACTCACTCACTGGTGCCAGTTCAGTGTTTGCCCCTTTTGTGGTTGGGTCCTTATGTGTTTTCCCCTCTCTTGGTCTACCTTCCAGTCCCTGGAGTCAGTGGGCTTTAGGTCATGTGTTCAGCTAGTGGATGTCTCCACAGAGCATAGGGGAGGGACTTCCCGGGCCTTGGGAGTTGGAATTGCGGGGATTCCTTCTAAGCCAGCCATCCACATTATGATGCCTGGGAAGTAAAATGGTGTGCTTAGTTGTACCTTCTGTAAGTGGGCAACGTGGTAGAGTGACACTGTTTCTGAGGTGCTCCATGAGTCACCAGCAGACAGTCGATGTTGCGTCCTGAGTTCTGGAAGCTGACCATGGCTGCCTGGGTCAGCACAGCCAGCGCTCGCACCAAGCTCTGCACGTGAACTGGGTAGGATAGATAAGAAAGACCAGTCCTGACCTGCCTGGTATTTGTTTCCTGAACTTGAATGTTGAACTTTGTCTAAAGCTTTCTCATGTGTTTCTTCACCTTCTGCTAGTCTGAGGCCTCACCTGTGTGAGAACTGTGGTGTTTATGTGGCAATAATAGTATGACTGATAGTGTAGTCCCCAGGTTGTGTTCCTTTTCCCACAAGACTTTAAATGTTGCTTCACTGCCTTTTATCATGGAATATTCCCTGGCCATGTTAGAGATAATATGCAGGTTCCTTGTATTGGCTGCTGAGATACCAGGATGGGGGGACTGCTACAGCTGGCAGAAGTGACAGGTTTGGTCACTGCGCATTCACTGTTACTGTGGTACAAAATCAAGGACAAAAGAGGTGACCTTGATTTTCACATCGTTCTTGTTTTATGAGACCTTCTGCTCCATCCTCTACCAGTGTTGTCCAAGATTTTGTTACTGCAGCTCATGTTTCTCTTGGTTTATTAGAGTCAGTGTGTAAGAGATATTTGCCCCCGTATGCCTACTTCTTGGCTAGGAGAGGAGCAGTGAATTCTGTCTGTGGTTTTAGCTAACTCAGTGATGACTCTCTTTCTTGATGGGGAGTCAGAGACAAATGGCCTCTGATGTGCCCTTTTCTTGGGCCCTCCAAAATCCCAATCCCTAAACCCTTAGTTCCACTAAATGGCTGTGAGGGAGGTTGTAGCCTATGGTGTAATCCAAACCACACTGGCTTGCCTGTGCACTGGCATGAGACACGAAGTTTTCCCTTGCTTCCTTTTACTTTGTACCATTTCGTTAGGTTGCAGCCATTTTTTGCTTTCTTGTAGTGTAAAAGATCTAGTATAATTTACAGGGCAACTACCAGCCTTTGAGTGAGAGGCTGAATCTAGTTCTTACTAATCCACCCAGGGGAAAGACAAGGGAGAGCTGAGTCTTGGCTGAGGAAATAATTGTTCCTGAAAGAAGCAAAAGCAGGATTATTCTACAGATGCGTCCATGAGCATGTGAAAGTGTAGGAGTTACACAATTGCTCGGTCTCTCCAGCCTGGTCTCTGATGGCCCCCTGCATGCCACATTGTCTTTGGGGCACAGTGGGAGATGGGATGAGGATCCTGGTGTAGCAGTCACTTGAGTGGCTTTCTCTCCGCCTAGGTGTCCTTTCTCTGTGGTCATAGTCAGAAGCAGGCCCTGAAGCTAAGGATAAAGCAGAAGCTGTTCTCTTTTCCCCGCGCTTCTGCTTAGGTGGTCACCACAAGGAAGATGCTGATAGGAACAGGTGCTGCTTTCTTCCCTGTATCCTCGGTTCCTTCAGCTCCTGCCTCTGGTTTACTGCCTTGGGGATCCAGGCCGCCGCTAAAAGCAGAGTAGATTTCTCAGTTATCCTTATGTTATTTCTCTTTTTTTTGTCTTTTTCCTTTTTATCGGTACCGGGGATCGAACTCACGACTGCCTGCTTGCAAGGCAGGCACTTATGCCGCTGAGCTAAATCCCCAGCCCCCACCTTATGTTATTTCTAAGAGGCTTTGGTGGTCATTCTTAACTTGTCCTCCTTGGCATCCCTAGGATCTGATAGTAATAATAATGGTAACAACAATGATGTCTTACATTTGGACAGCTCAGAATAGGGCTGGCTTTTCCTTCTGACCTTTACAAAACGATACCATTTCCTTCATTTAGCATACTTGCCTGGTATAGAAACGGGGGCTGCTTCGTACTGGGGATTCAAGAGAAGAGAAATTAAAAGACTTTGAACAGATTGCTGTATTGGGTTTCTAGGCTCTGAGACTGAACAAGTTGGCTCTGTTCCTCCATTCTGCATTTGCAGTGTGACCTTGGGCTTTTCTCTCAGTCCCTCTCAGATTTCCTTCTTTTAAAAGCTATCATCACATGTTTCCTTCACAAGGGTAAAAGGAGTCTGTGTCAGAGAAGGTCACTGAGGCACTGTGGCTCCCTGCCAGCTTGTAGAGGAAGCCTCCTCCATCTCCACAAGATGACTGTGTTGACATTGGCATGACTCTCACACCTTGGCCTCAAGGGATCTTGCCTGTGTTTCATCTTTTAACTTCTGGAAGAGGAATGACTCAGACCTGGCTTAGCCTACCACATGGGCACCATGACCAGACATGCACTCGTGACCATGGTGTAGAGCACCTGGTGTGGACCAGCATCCTCTCCAGATTCCCTCCTTTCCCTGGCAGGCAGACCATCATCACCATTTATCTTGCTGAGGAGAAGAGGGGAGGTTGGTGGCAGCGACAGAGTGACAGTTTGCCATCTCTGATTTCTTGGAGTCTGTCCTAGGGTGTGATTTGATTAGAGCCTGGAATCAGGCCAATTCCTACAAGAATCTTTGGGAAAGCTCCCCCTGGCTGTGGGACATCATATGTCACATGTGAGGATAGAGATCTGCACAGAGCCCCTACCCCTTGGGCCATTGTTGCTCAGGTATAGTAAGACACACCAGGGATGCCTAGGCCTGATGTTTGATCAACACCCTGGCTCCAGTTAGTCCTCGTATTGGAAACATGTACTTCCACCCCACACAAGGAAACACTCCTAAGTCATCATCCCAGTGCCCACTCTAGGCAAGGAGTCTTCCACTTTTAAATGATCCTCAACCCCACTGCTGGAGCTTGAGCCCAAGGCCTTGTGTATGTTAGTCAAGCGCTCTCTCACTGAGCTACATTCCTAGTCTGCAAGCTCACTTTTAACAGACCGAAAAACAGTAGGTACTGTAGAGTGGCTGACTGGGAACTGTGTATCTTGGGGTTGAAAGTCCATGTGTCCCCCAATACTCCCTGGGAATGCACACCAATGAGCATTGTGTTTATTTGAGTTAGGTGTGTGCGGAAGGACCTTGTCAGGCAATTTAAAAGGACTTTTCACCTATGGAAGAACCTGGGGGAAGAAGCAGGTCCTGCTGTTTGTGGGAAGCCTCTTTTCCTGAAGACTGGACCACTTTGTAGATCTGGGGCAGGGGTGAAAGTGACCCTTTATGCATTGTGGCAAAAACTTGGTGATCTGAGCTATCCTCCTCCTACTTGTAAATTTGCAAGTATCTCTGCCCCTTTGGTCCCCAGACACCCAGATATGAAGTGAGAATGATGCTATCTTCTAATTAAAATACACGAACCCTGCCAGGCATAGTGATACATGCTTGTCTTAGCTATGTGTAAGACCGAGGATGATCCCCAGAGCTCAGGAAAATGCGGCCAGTCTGGATGACATAGTGGGACTCCATCTCTTACATGTCTGGTTCTGGAACCCCAGGTCCAGCACTGATAAGCTCCACCTTGCTTGCCGTGGGAGAGGGTGTGTGTATGTGTAATGTATATCTTATCATAAGTCAAAAACAATCAAAATCCTGGCTTTTATATGGTTCAACCTAGTATCTTCTGCCTCTGCCTTAGTTTCACCTGACAGTGATTTCTTATCAAGATACGGTTGTTATGGCTGGCGTGGTGGCACATGCATGTTATCGTGGCACTTGGGAAGCTAAGGCAGAAGGAACACTGACTTCGAGGCCTGCCTTGGCCACATAATTAAATTCAAGGCCAGCCTGAATTGCATAGTGAGACATGGTGAGAGCCTGTCTCAAAAAACAAAAACAAAAAAAGGTTGTTAGGGACACATTCCAAAAACATCTCTTTATTTCAAGCAGATAGGTATTTTTCTAGATAAAGAATTCAAATGAATAAAATTCCATGTATAAAAGGGGAAAAAATCCTGTTGTTTCTGGAGTGACTTTGGCCCTGGTCCTTGCCCTGCTTTGGCTGAATGGGTTTCAACCATCTCAGGTGCCAGTGTTGGAAAGCAGGAGGTGAGAGCTGAAATCCTAGTTGATTAAGGCTAATTAATAGGTGCCTCAACAGTCTGCCCAGCCCCAAGTTTCTGATTGGCTCTGCAGCGAGTCAGTTGCTCATAGGCTTTCTCAGACACTTTCAAAGTATATTCCATTCATCCTGGAGAGATCACTATCTCATCAGGCTCCCCTCATATTTTCTGTTGTGGGTCTAAAAGCCTCCTGGCCTCCTTAAGCTGTCCCGGGAACCCTGGGGTTGGCTGCTTTAGCTTGAGCCGGGCCCCTCCTGATTCTTAGTGCTTCTGGCTTCTGCAGTTGCTTATCAGAGCCCACTTTGCACTTTGAGCTAGAAAGAGGAGACTGGGCCTGGCTGGTTGCCAGAGCTGGGAGTTTTCCATACCCTTCTGTTTCCACAGGAAACAGACCCGCCTTCCCCTTGACCTGTTTTCCCACGGACTGGTTTGACCTGTCCTCCCCGCAGTCCCCACCACCTTGTTTTACTGGACTGATTGGCAGGCAGGCATTACTACATGGGAGTCTCAGGAGGGGATACTTGAAGGCTGCTTTTCCTACTGGGATGGGCAGGATTGGAATGGCTGTAAGACTATTCTGGCCAATGAAGGCCCCATGGATATAGTGTAACTTGCTCAGCTTTCACTGAAGTTTAAGGCAAGATTCAGAAATGTGTTGTCTACATTCCTGAAATACTTATTTACCCAGACACCTGCTTTTACCAAGAAGGAGCCCGACGGTACTGTGTTCATCATGGATATTTTTCATTAATTTTGATTTTTTAGAACTACTTTGAAATATGTTTTGTATTTTGATTAATGAGTTTTCTATGCTTCTTAAATTTCACATCCAATAAGAGTGCCTCACTCCCTTCATCCAGGTTTAGTGAGCTGAATATGGTTTAGGGGCCATTGTCAAGTAAGAGTTTCAGGGATTGTTTTCTAATTCCCTTTCCCTCAAGTCCTGAGTGAGGCTGGGAGCTCTCTGGGTGTGTTTGCATTTCTTTCTTTTGTGTGTGTGTGTGTTTTTGTATTTTTACCGGTACCAGGGATTGAACTCGCGACCACACACTTGCAAGGCAGGCCCTTATGCCGCTGAGCTAAATCCCCAGCCCCTACATTTCAATAAGAGTGTTTTCCTTTAACCTTGGGCCCGTGACCCTTTGATGTTCCCTGAAGACCTTTCAGACTCTCTGGAGCCCTGAGGCCCCTTCATTGGCGTGGGCCTGAGGTGGGGTGGGGATGGGGACAGGATTAGGTATAAAGAAGATCCTCAAACCTCTTTGGAAGTCTGAATCCTGGGAATGAATAAGCATCATTGATTCTCCCAGATCTCCAAAGGGCTGCAGCAAATGGAAGCTGTTTCGTTCCCTGGCTCTGCAGGAGCTGTGATGCCAAGCCCTGTGCCTACACAGCCTTCAAGATGTTGCCCATCACACCTCCACCAGCACCATTCTCACAATCATCGTCTATTGTCTTCATTTTACTCTTGTCACCTACCTCGGGTTCCAGGAGCCAGGCCTGCTATGGCGCTTTCCTTCATCATTGTCAGGCAATGCAGGGATTTACCTTGACCTAGATACAAGACTAATGATATATTATAAGAAACCGTAAGAGTTCATATACTTTTTGACTCGGTAATTTTGGCATTGGATATTACCCTCATCCAAGGTATGGAAACAGGTTCGGATGGCCATACGGCACGGCTAGAGTCACACCACGGGGAAGCAAGTTGTACATCTGGGTGGTCCCAGTATCATCCCTTTCCTCTAAGCACATTTGTAGGCCACTTTTGAGGGGCCTAGAGATGACTGTGTCCACGAGGGCCACCTCGGCTTGGAGATCACCCTTTATCAGAGAGGTGTCATGTCCCACTGTCTGTCCCCAAAACTCAGCGACTTCCTCTCTTCTGCAGGCTGCTTGCTGCTCCTCCATTACTCGCCATGACTTCAGGGATTCAGACCACATTGCGCGGAATGTGTCCACTCTGCAGCTTGTTTCCCAGCACCACTGTGGGCCTCTCTTCTAGGTCCAGCCTAGAATTGTCCTGTGATTGCTTCTGTTACAGCTTCAATCCATTTTTCTCCCAGTCTCCTGAGCTTGAAAGCCTTACTGTAGCTTGCGTCTGCTCTTTGAGAACTTGAGATCAGGCTGATGTCTTCTTGTCGCATTGAGCCACATGCCCTTAGTACTTAGCTATAGCAAAGCAGGTGATGAACTCTTTAATGTTCTCTGCTTTCCCTTACTACCTACTCTGCACACTCACCCACCACACACATCCACACTCAGACATAACAGAGTCTAAGACTATTTTAGAGGATCTTAGGGAAATCTTGGAGTTGGGTTTTACTTAGTTTGCAGAAAAGCTTTCTTTGGGATTTTCCTTCCCCATGGGCCTTGAAATCTAGGTACCTAAGTGAAAGTTCACATAGCTATTTGTTTATCTCTGTAAGTAGCTGCTAGCTTTTATCCCCAGACGTTCTCTGCATCAGTGTTTTATGAGTATCTGTCTTGATCTGTTGTCCTCGAATTCCCATCTTGCTTAGAGATTTAAGTTATTGTATCTTGGCAACAATATTTAAAGATGGAGAAGTCCTGAGGGAAACTTGTCACATTCTTTCCTTTGGCTGGCTCATCCATCTCTCCCCCACCCCTTTCCTTCCTCCATTTTTGTTTCATTTCTTTTTCTTTGTTTTTCTTTTTTTTTTTCCTCCCTTAACTCCCTTTTTCCCTCGCTCCTGGTTTTTTGTTTGTTTGTTTTTTGTTTTTTAAGGTACTGTAAATTGTTAACTAGGGATGCCAAGCAGGCTTGGTTCAATGGCTAAACCTCTCATTGTATTACAGTGTAATGCTGATCTCAGCCTGGTCTCCACACCAGAGCACACAGAGACTTGAATAAAACTGTTATAATGATCACTTCTGGTTTGCTGTGTTTCTTTGTACACTTGCCCTTGCTCAGGCCTTTCTTGAGATAGTATCTCACTGTACTGCCCAGATTGTTCTCAAACTCACGCTGAACCTCCTGCCTTAGCCTCCCAAGTAGCTGGGATCATGAGTATGCACCATTGCACCTGGCAATTGAAGCAGATATCCAAGTATCTGGGCTGTTCCCTGGGAATTTTTATGTTTAAGACATAACTATAGAGAGGGATAAAGGTGCTGTGGAAAGACTATTGGAAAGAAGCTTCTCTGAAGGCATTCAGTCCCCTAACTGCACTCCAGGAACCCGTGAAAGATGCTTTTGCCTGAGTCTGTCAGATGCATCTGTATTTTCTCACAGTTTACTCCCACGGGCTACGGGGTTTGACCTTCAGAACCCTCCTGAGTGTGTGTGGTCTCCTGCTCCTTGCCTTTTCCACCCTAACATTCCCAGTGAGATCGTGGAAGGGACTAGGAGGACAAACAAGATTTGGAATTGTAGACAAGATTTGCTTTCTGTGAGTTGTGGATTCTTTGTGACTCTGGCACTCTCTTGTTTTTTGAGAAAGTGTGTTTCTATGTAGTTCAGATTGGTCTTGAACACACTATGCAGTCTAGGCTGGCCTCAAACACATGCTGATCTTCCTGTCTCAGCCTCCTCAGTGGAGGGTTTACAGGCATGTGCCACCATGCCTGGCTTCAAACTCTGGTACTCTTAATGGCACTTGTTAGTTGTGTGACTTTGGCCAAGCATTTAAAAGTCCTGGAATTTTTGGAACAAACCAGTCACAAAGCAGCCTTTGTGGTTTTACTTTCCATGACTTTGTGCTTGGTGGATGAAGACAGAAGTGGACAGGAAGAATCTTGTTTGGGGCCAGTCTTCACCAGTAAGTACCCAATTTCATCATTCAGCTACCTGTGGAATAAAGCTTCCAAACCTACATCGTAAGGTACCTTTGCCTCCTAATGTTGCCTGTTCATTTCACTCCTAACTTTTGCCTCTTCCTGTGACACAAAGAGGGGTGACCATGAGATAGAATTTTTGCAAAATGCTGAGCTGTGCACTGAACCTCAAGGTAAGTTAGATTTGGGTGCAGATAACCCTTGTGGAACAGACTGGGCAAAGATAAAAAGTCGGCTCAACTTGTTGGCTACAGTGGTAATGTTTGTAATCCTGGCTACTTAGGAAGCTAAGGCAGAAAGATGTAATATTTTGAAGCAGGCCAGGGCAATTTAGTGAGACCCTGTCTCAAAATATAGAACGGGCTGGAGGTATAGCTCAGTGTTTGAGTGCTCTAGCTTTAAACTCAGCATTACATAAAACTGACCCAACTCTGCCAATATACACAAATCACTGCATGTTGGCAGATAGCACTTTGGTCATGTGGTATTAAGAACAATAGCATGGATTCAGTAATTCCACTTAGTAATAAAACTAGATCTGTGTCAAGAGCTGCACTGATACCTGACCTTTATCACCACCTTTCTAGTCAACCCTTTGTCATCTCCATTTTACTTTGAAGAAAGTAAGGGCCAGACACTTGCGTGCCCAAGCCTACTGCATAAGTGTAGTAGTCCTGGATCTTGGATTTATCTGATTCTAGCATTTACATGTGTTGACAGCCGGGGACATAGCTCAGCAGCACAGCACCTGCCTGATAAGTGTGAGGTCGTCAACTTGATTTTGGTACCCCCCCAAAAGATATTAAGCCACTAAAATTAGATTATTCAAGGATAATTAAGAAAATGGGGATGTGCTCATGGTAAGTTAAAAAGGTAGGATACAAAAAAAAAATAGTTTTGTTACAGGCAGCTATTTAGAAATATCATAAGTAAAAAGGAAAAAAATAGGTAGTCAAACAGGACGAGGCCCTTCAGGAAGCTGGCACAGAGGATCAAATGTCTTGTGACCTTGGAGGAGACATACCTCTTGCTGTGGGCCAGATCTCAAGACAGAAGGCACAACAAATGCAACCACACCATGTACAAACTTTAGGGATTAGGTATGGATCACCTTGAGAAGCCAGGAATCACCATCCCAACCTCCTCCTATAGGAAGAGTCACTGATCTGTAAAGAATGCTCCCCCGCTACCTGACTTGCTTCCCCCATTTGTCCCTGATTTGGTCGATTTTACCTGAATAATTTAACTTATTGGTTGACCATAGCTCTGTCCCACTTCATGGCCATCTACCTCACGAGTTCCCAGTTTTCCCCACTTTAGATCTATCTCACCTCATGGTTTTACTCTATAAAACCCCTAGAAAATACAGAACCTTTGGCAACTCACTCCAGACCTCTCTGTCTCTCAGACAGAAGCTTTCTTTCACTCAATTAAGTATTTCTGCTCTTAACCTGTGTTACTCCTAAAATTCGTTGCACGAACTCATACCGGACATATAGCAGATTGGGAGTTTTGTTCCCCTGTATCAATTTGATCCCAATTATACACAGAAAATATATTTCCATCTTTTAAAATATGCACTTTATATAAAAAGGTTAAATGAAATTTATCATTTTGGACAGGTACCATAGATAATTTTTAAATGTTCTTTTGGAATTTTTTAAAGCTTTTTTTCTTTAAACAGTGAACATGTATTAACTTTTATTTTCATTAAAATAATGGCAGGGAAAGTTCATAGAGGAGGATACTTTCCATGATGCCAGGTTCTTCAGCAGATATTCCAGAGGCCAACATCCCCTTGCTTCAAGGCTGTTCTTGGCCCTGAGCAATAAAGCAAAGGATTCTAGGAGCCCATTCTTAGAAGGCAGAATTGGAGCCAAGGTCAGAGCTGTGAGGGGAGAATGCTACCCAGGCAGGCAGAGTCCATCCACATCATTGCTGAGAGATAAAAGCCTAACTCAGGAAAGTATAATTTAACTCGGCCTTGACCAGGTGATGGCATTTTACAGAAACAGAAACAAGGAAAATGGAACTTAGCTTAATGTATCAGGCAACCTCGCTTTGTCCTTTTCTGCCCCACCACCCTTACCCACATCTCCTAAACTCAGCACCCTGTATATAGCCCTGAGCAGCCCTGGCTGGGAGCTGACTCCTGGATTCAGGACCCACCTGTGTGGTTGCTGGAGGCAATGAAACTTTCCCTTTAAATTTTCTGGAGGCTGGTTTTCTTGTTGGTTTTGCTATGGGTCTTTTTTGATCTGACAGGAGCCAGTTTCCCCATCCTGATGGACCTCCACTTTACCTCTCTGATGATGCTGGAAAGGAGGAGCTGTGCAATCTCCCAGAAGGCACAGCTGGGCAGCAGTGCCAGGTACCTGGTGGGCAGACAGCATGCTCTTAGGACACAGGTACTGTGCTCATTCCTCTGTGAAAGGGCTGGGCTGGGCCTGCATTCACCACACCCTGTTTACTTGATTATGGAATGTGCTTCATTCACGGCTGAGTCTGATGTCCTAATCCTCTGAGCCCTCCGGTCTCCGCCCGATCTAGTCCAACTAGTTTACATCGGAGAGCATGTTTCAGCTCTGGGTAGGGATGGGGGTGAAGGGCAGGTGTCTGGTCACATGCTGCCGTCCAATCAGGAGAGGCTGGAGGAAAGGGAATGGTAGGAAACACACATACTCGCCATCATGTCACATCCCAGTGACCCGAGAAAGGGTCACATTCCAGCATGGGTTCGGTCCGGTCCCAGCCTACCTTCCCAAACTCCTGTCACAACTTCCTGGCCTCTGGACTGTCCCTTTCCTAAGACTGTACTTCTGCTACCTGTAAAACTCGATTTTCCAGGAACTGAGGCCTCCTGCTTGAGAGATTAGTATCATCCTATGAGCAGACTTTCTGAGCAGACTGTAGTCTAATTAAATGCTCTTCAAATTAAGTCGTGGAATTTAGTGGGAGGGGAGAAGGGAGAGTTGGGCAAGAGAAAGAAGAGAGATCAGATCTTGTCCTCTAGAAGGTGGCAGTGTCACTGGGATGCAATGAAGTTCATCAAGGATCCTAGAGCACCTGCAAGGAAGTCCTGGGGGCCATGTTAAAGAGAAGCAGCCAGGTAAATAAAAAAACAAAACACAGACTCCCATCTCCTTCTGTGTCTTACCTGACCTGAAATGACAAGACCCAGCCCTCTAATCACCTCATAAATATCCACTGTGGCCTACTCTGGCCTGGGATGCTGTGTTTCTGGCAAGTTCAGTTCTGCTTGAGGCCAAACCTGTCAACAGACGAAACATTCTTAGTACTAGAAATGCACCATGGTGAACGGAGAAGTGTGCCCCACCTAAAACCAGTGCTTATAAGCAGGTCACCTTTGTGTTTTATAACCCCAGAGAGGGAAGGAGACCGAAAACCAGTGCCGCTGCTGTTTTGGAATTTACCATCTAGTGGGGAAAATTGGGAAAGGCAACAATTAAGGCACTGATAATCTGAATGTAAATATCTCTATCTCTGTCTAAGTCATCTCTATTATCTATCTGTCTATCCATCCATCCATCCATCCATCCATTATCTATCTAGACCAAGGCAGAGAGATATCAGAGGCAGACAAGAGGTGAGATAAAACAGAGATAAGAGACTGGAGTAAGAAGTAAAGTCTACACTGAGACCTAAACAGTGAGTAAGATTTCAATAATCCCTGTGTGCTGGTGGTAAATGAGAATTCCAAGTATTAGGAGTAGCCCATGTAAAATATATTCTTATCTTCTGCTATTTTACTTATCGTGCATTCTTCACTGTGTTGGGTATTTTGTTCTGGTTGCTTTCTCTTTATCATGAAGATTAGAGTTAGGTAGTAACTAGGAGAGAAACAGAAAAGATTTTTTTTTTCATAGATGGGAGATACAGCAGGGGCTTTCACCTGTTTCACTTGTGCTGTTTGGTCTGCTCAGTGGTTAGGAGGATGCGTGTGTCTAGTAAAGAGACCTTTCTATGAGTAGTTTGGCACTGGGCAATGACAAATACCACATGGACTGAGAGATTTAGGAGTTAGGATCTTTCCCTTGGTCCTATCTCTGAGCAAATGATTTTAAAATCAGACT